TTTATATTAAACATGAACATTTCTTGTAAAGGTTTATATAAGCTTTATATAACAAAGTTGTCCTTAGAATGTATAACATTTTCTGTCTACTGAGAATCCCTATAGTTAACCAGTTGTTCTCTAATAGCATTTAATTATTTTTATTTTCTGAGATAATCATAATTTATTTTATGGATTAAAATGGATCTATATGTGCTGATTTTGAATTTATATTTCTGTTTTGTATTATTTAACTTTGGATTTTTGTTGTTTTCTTTTACTAATTGTTATAGTTAGCTTTAAGTCTAGGTAAGATACTAGATTATTAATAAATGCAAATATTTATATTTTTAAAGATGGAAGCTTTACTGCAGAAGGAAAGCATGGAGACTTATAATGTACCAATTCCTCTGGAATTGCACTCAATTTCTGCATTAGAAGTGATTGAGTGATTTAGTCATATTTTACTTCTTTTCCTTAGGGGTGGATACTTAAGGCTGTAAACCTTTTATTTCTTTTTCCAGATTAGCAGGATCTAGGCATACTGTTGGAGAATTTCAGAGGCAGAGCATTAAGGAATCTAAATAGGAGTGAAAGCAATCACAGCTGAAAGGAAAACTTGAAAACATTGGAGGAAAATATCTGTCCATTTCTAATGTTTAAAAATGTATCACTAGATTTCTATTTTACCTTTTGTATAGGAGCTCAGGTGACATGCATAGTGCTCTCTCCTCTTCTTTTTCCTCACAAGAACAACCCTCTGAGGTAGGTTGGCCTGAGAGAGAGTAACTGGCTAAAAGTCACCAGTGAGCTTTCATAGTTGAAGGTAGACTAAAGTAGGAGCTTCCCACTCATAGTCTGATAGCTTAACTGCTATATATTGGTTCTTATTTTGAAAGAAGAAACATGATCAAGTATTTCTGATAAGTTCAAAATATAAGAATTCTACACCAACTCCATCGAAGCAGTAAAAATATTGCAAATTCCTATTCCCCCAAATACATATAAACTGTTTAGATTATGACCCAGAAATGATAAACTATAGCTCCTTTTTAATTTGAGTTGCAGTCATTAAACTGTTAATACTCATTAATCTACATAGTTAATACAAGTACTTGGAAACTGTCATTAATGTTACAAACAGTATGACTTTCATTCTTTGTTCTACAAAATTCATTAATAAGATTTGTAAGAGCTCAAAATCTTCTGTACAGTAGTAAAGAATTAAGTCTTCAATGAACAAAAGAACCATTCATTGTTATAATAGTAGTAGCATGTATAAGCTGTTAAAGGAAATTGCTTATTGTGCCATAATCAGTTTTAACTGTTTCTTGGCCTCCAAAAAGAGCCCTTGCAGTGAGAATACCTGTGTTTCTGTGGGACTGTGTTCAAATCCCAGATATCTTTAGTGTTTGGGGCCAATTAGGAATTTACTCTGCATTTTTGTATATATTGAGTGTTAAGTTTTCATGTACACCAACATTATAAGTTATTGTGCTGTTTTTTATTTTAGTTTCAAGTTTTAAATAAGGGACCTTATCTCTCAGTGTTCTTGAGTAGTAAAAACTGAGACTTTCTGTGCCTCAGATATGAAGTAAATTTCTAAAATAAAATTATATAAGTCTAGTTGTGAAATTTGGGAAGTATGCAGTTGTACCTGTAAATGTGGATTTTCTGGTAATGTCCAGCTTATTCAGTAAACAGATTTACATTATCATAAAGATCTAAACTTTTATAAAAAGCAGATTCTGTTATCCATGCAAAACACTATATTGTTTTTAAGTCACACAGAAAGCAAAAGTAGCTGCCTTTTTCTTTAATGAACGCAGGAACTCTGAGTAATGTGTTGGACAAATGGTAATCAAAATAGAATCAAAAACCTCAAATGTCCTTGCAATCATAGGGGGAAGTGGCAATATAGGATAGAAGAGCACAATCCCAAGGCTCTCTGCAGTGTGCTTCCTACAAAAAATAAAAGAACCCTGATTAAATTAAACAGTTTCACTTAACTGGTTAGAATAGGTGACTGTTAATTTTGGTTTCTTGGAAGTTTACTTATTCCTGTCTTTGTAGTGCTGATTGAGCATGTATTGTGGCTTTACAAAAAGGCATTGCTTCATGTGATTGAAATTAGTGTGAAGGGAAATCATAACGTTAGATTTTTTTTTAACAACATGAAGCTTTCAGAAGTAGGCAGATTAGAGGTGTGTATTGCAGGTTATGCAAGTTGGTGGTGATAACTCCAATGCTATGTTGAAATTGAATTGTGTTTAAAGTTAATTGAGGCAAGAAGAAGTAGGATTCCTGAGCAGCATATTAATAATCAGTGTTTGTATAATTGGGAGTTGGGCGGCATATAAATTTAATATATTATTATGGTTGGTCGCATAGTCAGCCAGATGTATCGACTGGATTTGGCATTTTTATCCACCTATCAAGTCCTTCCCAAGGACCTGT